CTCCTTCCCCCAACGCTGCTGCTCTGTCCCATCCCCTCCGCCTTGCCCCATCACCCCAGCTCAGCCCAGTCCTCATGCTCCCCTGCCTGACTTTTCATGAGCTTCTATGAAAAAACACTCAAGGAGATGGCACTAGAGGAGAGAGGGGGATAGGGCCACCCTGAGGTCAGTACCTTTCAGCTGACTCACTGACTTCTACTGGCATTTGGGTCTAGAGCCCAGCGGGGACATGGGGTAGGGTGAGGCAGAAAACCCAAGGCCTCTTGAGAATGCAGCCCAAGGCTAGTTGGGGTGAGGCCTAGGAGGGGCCTGTTCCTCAAGGCTGGACCATGGCCCTAAGAAGCCTTGGTTCCCACCCCTTAATCTCAGCCCAGTACAGCTGGGTGGCCCTGCCCTCAAAGATGCAGAGCCATTCAGGGGAGGGGCTGAGGTCTCTAGAAGAGAAAATCATTTGAGTCTCACAGCACTTCCAAGGCCCAGGCTGGTGGAGGTTGGCGGGTGGTTCTCACTGGGGGTCTGCGACCTCCTCTGACACTTCTCTTCACTCGTTTCTCACACATCCTCCTTGAGGCAGTAAGTGAGCAGGGCAGGGATGTGCTGAGCGCAGTATGTAATTCTTGCCTTGCTGCAGTGCTGGGAGGGCCCCTCATGGTGCTGAGAATTCCCCAAAGACTAGGGTAGGAGATGCCAGATGGGCAGATGGAGAGACCAGGGGTGCTGGGTGCTGGTTCTGGGGGTGGGGTTGGAGCTAGGGGACCACAGATTCCACAGGACAGAACAGATGCTGGAAGCAGGGTCAGATTGAGGTCAAGGACCTTCTGAGTTGAGTTAATGGAAAGGCATGGGGACCTTAGTTCTTGCGGAGCTAGGCCTCTGAGGGCCTCTGTCCACCCGAAACTGAGAGGGAGGGGAATGAGTCCAGCGGCCCCCTCCTCACCTCTCCCCTACCCCATGGGACCCCCAGGAATGTGCTGCATGTCTTCCCTCCTCTGACCCAGGTGAAGGAGGGGAGGGGATGGAGGTGGAGGACTGTCACCATGCTCCTGACCATTGTTTACATGACCCGTAGGTTGAGCCCAACCAAGGCCTGTTGGTATGTTGGTCTCCTAATGAGACATTCATGGGTAATTAGGTGCTGCGCTTCCTCCTCCCCTGTGACTCACAGGAGACCTGTGCAGCAGGCAGCGCCTCACTCAACTGTGCAGGCAGCTTTCTTTGCCCCACTCTGACAGCACCTTGGCTGCCCCTGCCCCTCCGCCATGCCTCTCATGCATCCATTCATTCCACAAACATCTAGAGGGTGCCTACTGTGTGTCAGGCACTGTTCTAGGTGCTGGGGATGCAGCAACGAGCAAGCCAGATAAAAATCCCTGCCTTCAAGGAACTTAGATTCTGCTGGAGGGAGACAAACAAATAAGAAAAAAATATAGTATGTCGGAGGATAAGAAGTGCTATGGAGAGAAATGAAGCAGAGAAGGAGAGTAGGGAGCGACGTGTGTGTGTGTGTGCGTGTGTCTGTGTGTGTACGCTCAGGCACACAAGATTGTAAATAGAGAAAACACTTGAAGGAGGGGAGAAAGGGAGCTGTGAGCAGATCCCAGGGAACGGACAGAGGCAACCGCAGGTGCAGGGGCCCTGGGCTGGAGTGAGCCTGCCGTGCTCAGGAGCAGCGAGGATGCCAGTGTGGCTGCAGCAGAGTGGGTGATGGGGGAGTGGGAGGAGGTGAAGTCAGCGAGGGCCTGCAGGCCAAGCAGAGAAATGACCCGAACTCATTTACATTTAAGAGGATCACCCTAGCTACTGTGTTGAACATAGAGCGTGGGGGGCAGCACCAGTGGGAGGCCACGGCAAGAATCCAGCTGGGAGGTGCTGGTGACGTGGACCAGGCAGTAGCTATGAAGGTGGAAAGAAGCAGTCAGATTTTGGATAGAAGGTGGAGCCAACTGGATTTGCTGCTAGGCCAGATGTGGGGCGTGAGGAGAGTGGAGGAGTCGAGGATGTCACCAAGGCGTTTGGCCCGAGTGACTGGAAGGATGGAGCTGGCATTTACAGAGATGGGGAAAGCTGTGGGAGGAGCAGGCCATCAGGGAAAGAGCAGGAGCTCAGTTTGTACATGTTAAGTTTGAGGCATCCATTTGACTTCCAACTGGGGATACCAAGTACGCAATTGAAAATTCTAGTCTGGAATTCCAGGCTAGAGATGTAAATTTTAGGGTCATCATCATAAAAGATGGTATTCAAAGTCTTGAGATAGTATGAGATTCCCTAGGGAGTGAGCGTAGAAAGAGTAGAAGGCCCTAGGGCCCTCCAGGATGACCAGGGAGGCAGGAGGAAAACAGGAGAGCTGGTGGCCTGGATACCAAGTGAAGATGATGTTTCTAGGGGGAGGGAATGAGCAATTGTATCAAATGCTGCTGAGAGTCGAGCACAATGAGGACTGAGAAATGACCGCTGGATTTAGTGACATGGAGGCCACTGGTGACCTTGGCAAGAGCATTTTTAGGAGGTTTAAGAGAGAATGGGAGAGAGAATGGGAGAAGAGATGGGAAAAGGGAGGAGAGGAATCAGAGATAGCGTAGATTCCCTTATAAGCACTTTTGCTTTAAATGGGGGAGGAAGAGGGGGATGAGGGTCAAGAGTGTCTTGTGTGTTGTTTTTTTCAAATGGGAGAAATTACAGCCTGTTTCTCTGCTGATGGGAACAATCCAGCAGAGAGGGCAATACTGATGGTGCAACAGAGGGAGGCGAAAATTGCTGGAGGGACCCCCTCAGCCTATCCCCACTTGAAGCTAATAGAAGTTGTCCTCTTTGAGGGAGACCACAGGGACACCAGGCTGGGCACAGGGTCCTGTCCTAAATCAGCCCCTTACTACCAGTGGGACTCTGTGTCAGCCCCTGAACGCCCAGGGCTTCAGATGTGGAAAGCAGGTCTTTTAACATCAGCACCGCCTCCCTCCCTGGGTTGTGGTGGAGATCCAGTGAGGTAATACGTGTGAAAATGCTTTGTTAAACGTAAAGGGTGGGACAGATGGCTGGGATTTTTTTTATTATTCTAAAAACACAAGGGATTATTAAACAAATTTAAGGGATTACTGTTCATCCAGCCCTACATGTATGTACAGCCTCCCCGAGTAGCTGACACACTTGCTGTGACCTGATCCGCACGAAGCCAAGAAGCCAAGTCAACCCCACGACCCTGACCCTCTGGCGGTGCTGGCCTTCCTCCCACTCTCCCCCAGCCTCATCCCCTGCACTGACACCTCTTCTTCTATCTGCCCCTGAGGGCTCCCCAGGCTCACTCTCCCCAGTGTGACCCTCTCTCTTTCTTTCCTCCTCGCCCCCTTCCTCACTTCATCTTTTTAATCAAAATCTGTCTTTAGCAAGTTCTGTCTGGAGGAAAGAGCACTGGTCGGGCAGCAAAGAGACATTAGTGCTGTAGGATGACCAAGCACCCTGGTTTGCCCAAGATTTAGGGGTTCCCCCAAGAAGTGGGACTTTCATTGCTAAAAGTGGGAAAGTTCTGGGTAAACTGGGATAAGTTGGCCATCCTAGTTGTAACCAAGGCCACACTTAGGTGACCTGCCATTACCTTGTTGGGAAATCTCAGACAAATCACTTAACTTATTTGGGGATCAGTTTTCTCATCTGTAAAATGAGGGGTTTGGAGTTTCACTAGATCCCTTTTTAGTCTCTTCCAGCCCTCAAGTTCTGAGCCTGAAGGTGATTTACTCATTTCACAAATATCTACTGACTGCCACTGCGTGCCACACACCGTGCTCTTCCCGTAAACTGTGGCACCGTGCGCACACAGCACAGCACCTCACACACTGTAGGTGCTCAGTAAAGACCCGTGGAAAGGAATGGATGAACAACTCATTCCTGGCTTGATCCCTATCCAAACCCCCTAAAACCTCTGCTTACAGTTCTGATCCCCTGCTTTTCTCCCCAGCTTTGCTCCCCGAATCTGTCATCAACAAGCCTCTAGAACCTGTGACTAAGCCCAGGACTCTGGCCAGACTGAGTTGAGCTGAACATTCCAATGAAGGAGAGGATAGTCTGGTCACTGCTCCTGCTGGCAGTGGATGTTTACCTTGGAGCCCTGCCCCCCGTAAGAAGATGTCACCAACGCAAGCTTGTCCACCTGGGTGGATCCTGGAACACCATCACTTTCAGGAGCTTGGAGCCCACCTGAGCAAAGGGCCTGTGTTGGGCTACTCCAGGCAGATGGCTGCCCTTGGTCACCTTCTGTCCCCTGGGCATCTGTTACCAGACACCCTCCTCCCCTCTCCATCTAGCTTCAGACCCCAAGTGGGGCTCTAGAGCCAGACCATCCAGGTTCCCAATCTGGCCCTCTACTTCCTAGGATGCTGTATGACTTTGGGCAAATTATTTAAAGTCTCTGAGCTTCAGGTTCCTCAGCTTAATTTGAGAACAACAGAACCTACTTTATATAGTTATGGTGAGGATTAAATGTACATGCAGAGCTTGCTGGGGGCAGGGAAGCAAGTGCTCAATAAATATTAGCTTTATTATTATAATCATGGTCATCAACACTCTCGGCTTGGCGAGAACGGCCAAGAACAAGCTCAATCTAAGTGCTTCTCTCTCACAGGGTACTTGGAGTCTCTCTTGCTCCAAGAAGCCCTCCCAGATTACCCCTAGGAGATCAATGACTACTTTAGTCTATGTGGACAGGAGACCCTCACTCTCCCACTCCCACAAGCAGCACTGGCCCTCCCCAGGAGCCAGGGGTACCTCTTCCCAGCTCTGGCTAAAGCTTCGATCCTGCTGTTGCGACCTTCCTTCCCCCTCTGCACAGGTCAGCTGGTCTGTCTTAGAGACCAGAGAGAATTCCCTGACCCAGCACTGAGCCCCACCCTGCCCACATGTGCTTCAGAAGGGTTTAGGGAGGAGGACCATGAGGAAGACAGGCATGGCGGAGGGGCCTAGGGAGCTAATGGGAGGCTGAGAAGTCAGGGCCCCCAGGGGGCCACACTCACCAACGTAAACACGCTTGCTCCCAGCACGGCATACACTGCATGGAGCCAGGGCACCTGTGGGGCAGACGCAAAATGGGCTTAGGGACGGCCAGCTGGGTGGTGGGGCAGAAGGGCAGGGAGGGGGGCTCAGTTCAGAGAACGGAGGATGTGAGACAGACTTCCCTAGTGGGGGCCCTCTCTCACAGGCCCCCCGCAACCCTCACCAGCAACCCCTGAGAAGCCCTAGGACCCAGGGGTCCTTGATGCTCTGTGTGTTCGGGGTGGGTGGGAGAAACCGCAGGATAACAGTGATCATGGAGGGGCTGGCAGAGGACCTCCTGATTGGACTGGCACTTCTTCCCTCCATACGCAGCCGCAGGCTCAGGCTGGACGAGGGTGACTCATTCTACTGGGGCCCTGTCATCCTCCCAGCCTGAGTCTGGCCTGAGGCTGCTCCCTCCTCCCAGTGTGCACTCATCCCTGGCCTGTATGGGTCTGTTTGTCCCTCTGTCAGGGGTCTCCCTGGCTCTGCCTGTGGGGGTAAGGGGTTCAGGTAGAAGGAGACAAAGACTTGAACTCAGGGGTGTGGTGGGGGGCTGTCTGAAGTCCCTGCCAGCTGTGCATGATGGGATTGCCTGCAGAGGCTGGAACAGCACCCCTTCCCAACCTTGGCTCCCCCCAAGTCTCAGGGGCACCCAGCTGTGTGTGGAAACCCTGCAAGAGGTGCCACACCAGCCGTGCCCTCTGTACGGCCTTCCCCCAGAAGATTCCTGGAAACACAGGCATCCCATCAGCCTGACCCAGATCAATAAAGGGTTCTTTGAAGCTCTGGGGCCCCTTCCTGTACCCCCCCATCCTAGATACACAGAGGGCCCCCAGGCCAGCTCCGGCCCCTCCCTTCGTCAACAGGATCCTGGGAAAAGCCAAGGAAATGCCAGAACCAATCTTGATGTCCTGGACTCAGAGCCAATACCCTGGGGGTTGGGGCTGGGCAGGTTGGGCTGGGGAAAGGGGATAGTGAAGAATGCTGTTCCTAGCTTGGTGGGAAAGGGTCGGTGGGGGACCAGGTACCAAAGGCGGCAAAGAGGAGCCTGGTGGCCCATGTAAGCACTGAGCAGGGGTCCAATAGCTTCATTTCTTGGGTTCCCAGGATTCAAACCTCAAATCCCTCCTGTGATGCCCTCAATCTGTGCCCTTCTCCATCTGCAGTGGCCTGAGTGCCTGGAAGCGGTCACTGCATCCTGAGCACTCCTGGCTGGATTTCCCAAGGCAGGCTGGACATTTCTAAAAGAGCTGAGATTTGGCTGGCCCCACGGTGGCTCTAATGGGGTGGGGGATGCTCAGAACTCCACTGCCCCACCTTCTGCCTGCGTGGAAGCCAGATTCTGCCTCTCTGGAATTGGCTGATGCCCCAAGAGTCCCAGGAGGCCCTGCCTCAGGGTTCCTCTGGGCCTGGTGGCCATGCGGAGCTCCAGAGCTTCCTCCCCTGCCCCAGGTTTAAATGCTCTGTGCCCTTCCCCTCAGCCTCACCTCCACCCTAGAGGGGAGGATGGGAAAGGTGAAGCCGGATGTGGCTCCTGGAGCGGGCAGGTGCCCCGGCCTGCCAAGAAAAGCCTCCTTGTTTGTTTGCTTACACTGCCAGCAAGCCCAGGGCAGGTGCCAGGAGGGGCGGACAGGATGGCAGACTGTGAGCCTTTGGCTCTGGGCCTTCCCTGGAGGGTGTAGGAGGAAAGGGCACCCCAGGCGGCGGGCCCGTCCCCTGCCTCCCCCCGGGGCCAGCTGGGAGACCCGAGACTCACGTATTGGAAGGGCAGGAGGATGGCCAGGATGAGTCCACTGAAGAAAAGAGTCATGAGCAGTACGAAGATCACACCCTGGCAGGAGGTGAAGTCAAACTGCAGAGATGGGACAGGTGTCAGCTGCCGGGCCCCTCAGGCCTGCAAGGAGCGGCTTGGCATTCTGGGGGCCCCAAATGGGCAGTGTGCTGGCCAGAAGGTGGAGGCCTATACAGCAGGCCACCTTCTCATGCTCACCACCGGAGTTCCTCCACCTCCCCTCCCCAGACCCTACTCACCCCTTTTACCTCTCCCCAGCCAGATAATCCAAGCTTGGAGCCCCCCACCCCATCTGCCCTCCCCTGCCCACAGGCCCCAGAGCTGACCTTGGTCTGGAAGCTGAAGACGGTGACTGAGAGGCAGACGAGGGCCGTGATGCCCAGGCACAGCAGCACAGATGTAGTGTTGTAGTAACTGCAGGACCATCATGCCAGGGGGTCACCTTCCAGGGAGGGCTCGTGGTCTCCCCCTGCCCTCCTCCCACGCCCACCCCTTTTCTGCCAGGACCTGATCCTGTGACCTCTGGTCCCCACCCTCTCCCCTTTCCCAGGATCCTCCCTCTCCCTGTTTCCCCAGCTTTTCTACTGGGCCCTGCCCTCCTCAACATGCTTGACTCAAAATCCTGTCAGAAGGATCTCGGAGAGACCATGGGAGTGGGGGTGGGGAGGGGCTTGTGCTGGTGCCTGGAGATGGTTTACAGGGAACTGCGTGATCATGAGTCTGGGGTCTTTAAGCTGCAGCCTGAGAGGAGTCACCTTGGTCTCTTCCATCCTCCACCTCCACCCCACCTACGTGGCCAGGTCCGGGGGGTACTGTCCAGAGGAGTGCACGAGGAGAGGGCACTAGGCCAATGTCGCCTGCCTGCCTGAACCCCTTCCCCCCCTCCAATGTTCTGAGGAGGGATGGTGTTGGGGGACAGCTCCCCTCAAGGTGTGGCCAGTCCCCTTCCACCTGTCCCCTTTACCTGGACAACATCCCAGTGAGGTAGGCCATGGACAGGGTCTGGAAGGAGAAGCAGGATGAGGGAATGCTCCAGAACTCAGACTTTGGGGGCCCAGAGACCTTCAAGGTCCAGCCCAGGTCTCCACCCCTTGCATGTCCCCCTCAATTCTGAGTCTGCTTCGCTCACATGCACATTTACTTCCAGGACGCAGCTGGTGAAGGAGCATCCCATCAGGCCTTGCGCCAGCTGTCCCTTTCTTTCTTTTGCAGCCCTGCTCTTCCCCCCTTTCTAAGACCCTCCACTCTTCATTATCCATAGCTCTAGGATGCCTCATACAAACCTCTTAAAAACAAAATCACAATGAAGATAGACAGTGGATGGAGTGGGGGGAGACTAAGCCCATTTGGAAAGAGAGAGTGGGACATCTTTGTGGAAGAAGTGGGGTGAAAATATCCCTGCTTCCCCCAGTGACCTCACATTGGACGTCCCCAACCCAGACTTCCTACCCTTGGAAGCCCGTCCCGTCTCCCTCCTCCCTCTATCCCACTGGGCGTCTGTCCCCAGACACCCCCAGATCACTTACAAAGATGGTCAGGAGAATCAGGTTCCATGGGAAATGCCTCCTGTAAGGCAAGTTGCCGAGTTCAGAGGAGGGTGGGGGGTGCCAGCAGCACAGGCCAGGTCACCACTGCATCGAGGGGGTCTCTGCCCAACCCTATCCCCACTCCTTGGAGCCTTTTCTTTCAGCCACATCCCCAGGTGGCCCCATCTGTCTGTCCACCCTCCCCCCAACTCAAAGACACCAAGTAAAGAAGGGAGGGGCAGGCCTGCTTGATGGAGCCCAGAAAGGGATGAGACCCCCTCAGGGGTGCACAGTATTGGTGGCAGGCAGGACTGGGGCCAGAACTTCCAAGATCCCTGCTCACATTTCCACAAGTTGCTCTCCAAGCCGTCATCATACCTGGGTCCAGAACAGCAGGCCAGGGTCAGGTAGGTTGCAAAGAACACAGCGCTGTGAGAGACAGATGGGTGAGTCAGCCAGTCTCCCCTGAGGCCCCTCCACCTAGTCCCCTGCTCATCTCATTCTCTGCCACCCCTGCCCACAGGGCTCCAGGCAGGGTGACGGGGAGGTCACGGTCATCCAGAACCAGGTAATGGGCAGGGTAGTGGTCCAATTCCAAAAGAGAGAAAGGGGAAGACGATGAGCCTGCTTCCAGAAATACTGAATCTTGAGTGCCATGGGATAGCTGACCACCTAATCCAAAGTGGTCCCCCCAGATACCATCTTATCACTTACACACAAAAAAGCTCATATACAGTGTTTTCTATGTGCCAGGCAGTGCTAAGCGCTTTATGAATATTTGCTAATGTAATCCTCATAGTTTCTCTATGAAGCATGCTCTTCACTTCACAGATGAGGCACAGTGAGGTCAGGTGACTTGTCCAAGGTCATGCAGGTACCATGTGGCAGAGGCAGGATTAGAACCCAGGCCTCCAGAGTCCTAGCCCCACACTGCCTCCTTCAGGCCCTTCCCAGCCCTAGCACTACCTGTAACCATCTGCTTAGTTACTTTGTTGTTGGTCTACCCTTCTAGACTGCAAGCTCAGCAGGGGCAGGGCCCTTGTCTGCCAGCACCTGGGCCAGCAAGAAGTACCTGTGGCATGAATTTCTGGATCAGGTGGCCCTATCCACTAGGATACTGGCAGGGAGCTCAGGTGCAACCCAAAAATAGGGACTGAGGATTGAGGGTTTTCTGGAGAGCAGTGGAGGTGGAGGCCAGTCCAGGAGGTGGGAGATGAGGGCTGAGGACCCAAGAGTGTGGCATGCTCGTGCCTACCTAGATTGGTGCCACCACCAATGCATGGTCTCCAGCCCCCAGTGGGCCCTCAACATGGCGCCTTCCATCCCTCCCCATCTCTGTCCTCCATTCTCTTGCCCATCCCCCACAGCAGCAATTCCAACCATCTTCCCCCATACACAAAACTCTCAGGTTGCCTCACTCTCCTGCCTGGTCTGGCCTGATGTGTCCTAGAAAGATTTGGCTCCCCTGGCTCCCTGCCTGCCACCTGCAACCATCATGTCATGCATCTGTGTGCCCTTCCTCCCGTCCCTCCTCCCATCCCAGGCCAATACCCCCAGCCTGGGCTCTGGGTACCACACCCTCAACTGCCTCACCATCTCTATTACTAAACCTTTCTACTGCTGCCTCTCCTCCCACACAAAGCTCCTCAGCTGTTCTCCATCTTGAACCAACATCTTCCTGGCTCTAGGTGCTGCTACTTTACCCACCCTCACAGCCAAGCTTCTTCTGCACAGCCAAGCTTCTTGAAAAAGTTGTCTCCACTCACTGTGTCTTCTCCATCCCACAATTACTCCCCAACCCAACGAACTAGCCCCAGCCCCGCTTAATGAGAACTGGCTTTGTCATATCACTATGACCTTGTTGGGTTCAATTGACAACTCTCAGTCCTTATCTTACCTGACTTCTCAACATCTGATCTCTCTCCTTATTTCCCTGGTTCCAGAATGACATACTCTTGGATCTCCTCATACCCCCCGGCCACTCTTGAATCTCCCTCAGAGCATCTCTAAATATGCCTGGTTCCTTCAACGCAGGGTCCCGTCTCCCTTCACGCCCTCCTTGGGTGGGCTCACTCATCCACAGGACTCCCTTTATCAGGCAAATGCTCATGACTCGCACACCCATATTTCTGATCTAGATTTTCCTTCTCAACCCCAGACCTGAATATCCAACTGCCTACTGGGCAGACATGGCTATTCAGAAACGTGCCAAACTCAACAGGTCAGAAACTTGCCCCCTTCCCTGCTCCTTCTCCTGCACCCCCTATTGCAGAGGACATCATGCACCCTCCAAGTCACCCAACCAGAGACCTCAGTCATCCTTGACTCTCACTCTGTCATGCCCCATTAATCATCTGGACCTGTTGATCCTCCTACTCAGGCAGCTGTCAGATCTGTCCCCTTCTCTTCATTCCCACTGCCACCCTTTTAGGTCGGGCCACCTCTGTCTATCTGGTCCTCCTGCCTCCCCACTGCCTTCCACTCTCCAAGCTACAGGTAAATCCGATTGTGTGACCCTTCTGTTTAAAATTCCAAAGACCTGGCAATGCCCTGCATGATCCACCCCTGCCTACCTCTCCAGCCCATCCCTCACGGTGCTCCACCCCTCCATTGCAGCCTCTCAGGGCCCTCTCACCCTCACAATGTGCCCACCACACTGTGCTCCTGCTGAAAGGACTCACTGGCAAGGACATTGAGGCCTGGGTTAGAGGGGCTTCCTCTGTGCACCACGGGCATACCTCAACCAAAGCCCACACCCCCACACCCATGGGCCTGCTCATCTGACCCTCCACCCAGGCGTAGCACCTGGAGCAGCCTACTCATTTTGTATTCCTACCACCTAACCCAGGGCCTGGTACTGGTTGGATGATCTTTAAATATTTCTAGATGAAATGCGAAAGAACAAGGAATGTAGGGGTTGAGGGAAGCCTGTTGGATTGGGTGGAAAGGATGTCTCCCTCTTCACCCCTTCCTGTTCTTCAGTGGTTCTCAAATGATGTGGAACTGTTGTCACAATGACTGACGGGTTTGTAGGGCCAGGGGCCAGGGCTGCTGAACTCCCACTCCATGAGGGACAGTAGAATTATCCTGCCCCAGTCGAGAAACACTCCAGGATCTGCTCTCTTTTGGTCTCACTTGAGTCATTGGTCAATCACTTCAACAATAAGGATAATAATAATACCCTTGTCTATGTGTATCCTGGGTGTGGGTCCAGCCTCCCTCCCAGACTGGAAGGCGGCAAGTGAAGGAGGGAGGGACAGGAAGGGCAAGGGCCAGTCTCCTTTTCATTCCGGTCCACGGCTCCTCGACCCTCAAGACAAACAGTCAGGAGGGATGGCAGAGGGACTGAAGACCTGGGGGTTATGGTGCAGCTGTGGAGCCTGACACTCGCATTCATGTCCCAGCTCTACCACTACTATCGTGTGACCTTGACCAAGTTACTTAATTGCAGAGCCCTGGCTTCCTCCTTTGTAAGACAGGAATATTGGTACCAACTCACTGGGCTGTAGCAAGGATTAAATGAGAGCATGCATGTCCAGCGTTTAGCACAGGGCCTGGCACAGGGTAATGACTTGAGGATGGAGCTGTTATTATTATAATTAGACTGACAGCTTCCTGGAGAGGCTCTGACCCACCTCCCCCCAGCTCTGGTCTCACACTTTTCCTCCTCTGCCTGGTCCCCCCGCCCCCACCCCACAGCCCTGACTCCTTCCCGCTCCAGGGAGGCCCACGGTTCCCCCTGCCAGAGCTCAGAGGGAGCAATCAGACAATAAGGCGGAGCCTCCTGAGGGACATGAATGGGGCCTTGAGAAAGCTGTGGCTGGCAGGTGGGGGGTGAGGGTGCCAGAAGGCTGCCATCACAGGGGGCAGAGAATGAGTCATAGCAGAAGTGGGAGAAAGACTGACTCGCCTGTCAGAGCCTAGGCCCCAGGGCCTCGTCTGGAGCCATGGTCTGTTTACAGAGTGTCAGAGGAGTGAGGCTCAGGAGGAGGCGGGCTCCAAACCCGGTGTCCTCCCCCAAAGTGTCCTGCCCTAGGACCAGGCCTGGGCCACAGGGGGAGGCAGCAGAGCACTGGGGGAAAGTGCACAAGCTTTGCAATTATAGAGATATGGGCTTCAATCCTGGCTATGCTGCTTAGGAAGCAATAACTCCTCGCTGAGCTTCAATTTCCTCATCTGTACAATGGGGATTATAATAGTGTCAGCCTAGCAGGGTTGCTGTAAGGATCAAACGAAAAATATCTGTAAAGCACTGAGCACTGTGCCTCACACACAGAAAAAGAGCTGTCTTATTCTTATTGCTTTTAAGGGCTTGGTATGTTGGAGAAGGTGAGGCTCAGACCCAGAGGCAGATTCAGGGGTCAGGGTGGATAGAGTTGATGGGTGGGGAGGAGGCAGGGCAGGGCACAGCCACAGTCTGGCTTTTTGGAGAAAAGGGCAGTATCTTCCTGGTGGAATACCCAAGCTCCTTTAAGGCTTTGTGACGCCCCATAAAAAGCACATGGTCCACGCCCACTTCCAACTTCTCTCCACCCCCACCCACCCCTGAGCCAGGGAGAGCATCAAAGAAGTTGAGGAGGAGGGTCCATAAATCTCATCATTCAGAGGCCAGATTCCCACGCCCACCCTCACTAGGGGTGGACTCTGCCTCCACTTCTCGAGCCTGCTCATTCCTGGACTGTCCCCTTGCCACCATCTGCTCAGGGCAGACTCCTGCAGACCCTCCTACAGAAGGCCTGGCAAGGGGCCTGGGAACTCCATTCCCAAGTCCTCAGGGCACCTGAGGCTGCCAGGTGGTGCTGACGTGCTGGGAGCCATGCCAACCTGCCGCGTGGGCTGGCTCAGGTGGTAGTCCCTGGGGCCTCATTAGCTTTGCCATACAGTGCCTCCCAATTCCCCAAGACACATGCCTCCCCGCCTGGTCTGCAGACAGGCCTTCTGTCCTATGCCCTAAGAAAGGCTCTAGGCGTGAATGTCTCCCCCCCAGGGCCCCCAACTAGACTGAGCCACCCCTCCACTCCTCCACGTCTCTGGGGAGCCCCAGAGGCCAGGATGAGTCTCCTTCCCGTCAGCCTTCGGCTGGCTTGTGTTAGCTCCAGGCCAGCTCTGGGACTGTTCTGGGCTCGGGTGGTACAGGTGGCTTTGGGCTGAGCCCACATCCTAACCAGATCCTCATCCAGGAACAGGCCTGGAACAGCGCATTCCGCAAGCTCCGTGACAGGGCATTCAGAGCTTCCACCCCATTGGGCCCCACTGCTCTCTGAGACATCCCGGATTCTCCTACCTGGAGCCTGCCAGCTCTCTCCCAGCATAGGCCCTACTTTATCCAAGGTACCACGTGCAGTCCCACACCCAAGCTTTTGCTTAAGCCAGTCTGGCCTCCATCCATTGAGGGGCACCCCTCGATGTGGACTCCCTCCTCTGAATGTTGCTCTTTCACATGCTGCCTGTGCTACCCGCTACCTTCCCCTGCAGGGGCCTCCTCCCCAGCAGCCCCAGTACAGGGCTGGGCTCACAGTGGGTCCTGATGGAGACTTTGACGAGAGCAGTTCTGCTCTGAGCTCAGGGTGCTCCTGGCCTGGAATTATCCGGAATGACCCCTTAATTGCCCAGATAGAGGGTCAGAATCACCTACACTGTCAAACCTCTTCTCTCAAGTTACCTGCCATGTTCCTTAAAGAGTATAGGGCAAGCAGAAGCCGAGTGTTCAAGAGGAAGGGAGTCTGCCAAGCAGAGGGATTAAGACCACAAGCCTCAACCTGAACCCTGGGGTTGAATCTTAGCTCCACCACTGACTAGCTGTGTGACCTTGGGCAAATTACTCCACCTCACTGAGCCTTAGTTTTCTGAGGTAATCGTACCCAGTAGATTTGAGGATCGAATGCAATACTGTACATCAAGCACACAGAACAATGCCCAGCCCTTATTAGGCACTCCATAAGTGGTAGCTATTATGATTAATAATTCGTAAGCATTAATAACAACAATGTTAATAAGAGCAGCAACATTATCATTAGTGTGGGCCAAGGTGTCCCAGCCCCCTTCTCCTCAGGGTCAACGTCTGGGTCTCTCCAGCCTTGGCCGCACCTCCACCCTTCCCTCCTTGTGCAGGCACCAGAACCTACCCATCCCCTCCCCTCCCCCTCAGATATAAACACCCCAGAAGGCCCTTCTGGCCATGTTCTTGTGAGGCCACAGGCTTGGATTCTGTGAACAGAGATTCCCGCCTTGTGCTGCTGAGGGTTCGCTGGAAGGGGCCTGAGGGACTGGGGTATACTCACTAGGATGCCCAGTACCAGCCCGGGTTGGCCTGGACATAGTCCTTAACGGGGTCACTGCACAGAAGGGAGAGAGAGAGAATTGGAATTTACTCGAGGTCTCTATTTTCGGGTTCAGCATCTGCACCTGCCCCCCACAGTTCACAGGGCTTGAGAGGAAGAAAGGAGGAAATGCACCCCTGGCGGCTCAGGGAGCCGCAGCCACAGTCCCAGGCTGGGACTTGGAGGTGCCTGGGTGTGGGGCTGGTGGATCTGAGAGGAATGACTCTCACAGACACCTGCAGGCCCGGAAGGCACCCTGGGTCCACCCTCCCGCGATGGAGGACTCCTCCATGTGCACTAAGGTTATTCCCCAGCATGAGCAGGTCCACTGCCCAGCACAAATCTCTTCAGGCAAAGATTCCAAGAGAAGCCTCATTCTGGTCCCCCCGCCCCAGACCTGGCCATGGCTGCCCCTGGAAGGTACCGGTCCACACTGCCAACTCACCAGAAGGTAAAGAGAGCCACGACACCCAAAGTCACCAGCAGCTGGATCAGCAGGATAGTATAGACCTGGGGTTGGGAGGGGCTCCGCTCAGCTTGGGGTCCTGTTTGAGGCTGGGGAGGCTCAGGCCCCAGCAAGGCCCAGAGTGACCCCAGCTTCCTGGTGACTCAATCTACTCTCCAGACCCCCATCTTGTGCCTCCACCCTCCTTCTTAGGGGTCATTGGAACAGACCCGGGACAAGGTGAAAGGGGAGGAGGGATGCTCCAGAGCCCAAACCCGCAGGAAAAGGGGCCCCACAGTATCTGGAGAGAAGAGACAGTGTGTTTAGGCATAGCAGGAGGCAGAGCGTGAGACCTAAGGAAGCACTTCCGAACAGGTGCTGTTAGCTGGGATCACAAGAGAAGGGGAGAGAGATGGCCTCTGCAGGCAGAGGGCTGGGCCAGGGGCTTCTTGAGGGGCTCCCCCCACCCAGCACCCCAGTCCTGGGGAGCTGGGGGAGGCAGTTACCTTTCTGATGAAGACTCGGCGAACTTTCTGGTCATCCCAACTGAAGGTGGTGAAGAGCTCATGGTCTCCAGTGGGGAAACCATTCTCATAGCTGGAGCTGCTGCCTGTGTGGGCAGGGGGAGGGCCATGAGGGCTCCCAATCACTGGGTGCCCCCAATGGCCACCTGCTCACAGCTCCTTTTTATCAAACTGGCTCTCTGGCCTGGCTGAAGCCCTTCTCTCCAGCTCCTTCTAAAACCTCCCCCCAACCCCCCCCAGCTCTCTCTCCCTGGTTGTTTTTCCTGTTCTGGGTCCTGAGAATGAACTGTCATCCCCCCTTCCCTCCCCTCCACCCTGGCTGGGGCTCCCTGGGGAGCAAGCTCGGCCATACAAGTGTGACCCTTCCCTCTTGTGTCCCCCACCCCCCTCCCTGGACACTCTGGGTCCTTTGTAGCCAAGGATCAGGGAGGGACAGCCAGTATCCCAGGGCCACCAGCACATCCTAGTGTCAAAGGTCCTGACCCCAGATTGAGGCCATTGGGGTGGGAACTGGGGCCTAGTTGGATGTGGTGGACCTGCTGGTGCTCCAGCTGGGAACCAGGGCTGGGGGAAGACTGGAGGAGAAATAAAGTCAGGACAAGGACAAGAAGTGGGGATGCAGTTTTGGGACCTGGTTCCAGAACTCAGGCTTTTGGGAGAACACGGGCTCCACCGTCAAATAGACCCATGTGTGGATCCCTCCTCTGAGACTGACTAGCTGTGTGACCTTGAGCAAGCCTTCTCTGAGTCTCTTCTCTTCTATGACATGGCTCAGCGATACCTACCTCATGTGGACCAAACCAAAAGATGAAAGCCTATGGCTCTGTGCCTGATGGGGACCATGCCACCCTCTCCCTAGCACCCCTCCTCTGGGCCATTCCCGAGTCCTCAAACAAGTCCACTCTGTTCTCCTCCCCTGTCCCAGTGATCTCCACGATCTTCCTCCCACCCCAACCCCACCCCCACCCACAGGAAGAGCCTCCTTGGTGTTTCAAAGCTGGCCATGGCATTGCCCTGCTCTTCGACGACTCCTACTGCCTCTTACTCACATTCAAGTTCCTTAGCAACGCCTCCACAGCCTGCCGTGCGCAGGGCCCTCCGGCCCCACAGCACATCACTCCCTTCTGTGTTTCTCCAGCCTGACTATATTTTTTCAGCCACGTGCTGTCTGGCCTCTGAGCCTCTGCATATTCTATTCTTTTAGCCTTGAACACTCATTTCCCTTTTCATTAGGCTAACTCATGCCATCCTTCAGGGCTCAGTGTGGATGCCCCTGACTCCCGGAAGCCTTCCTTGACTGTCAGACAGGTTAGGTGAGCTGCCCAGGCCTCTATCACTGTAGCTGTTTCACTATGTGGTGGTCGTCCATTTACTTGTCTACACTGTCAGCTCCATGAGGGCGAGTCTTGCAAATCGATGCATCCCCAGAAATTAGCTCAGTGCCAAACACTGTGCGTGGCACATACTTAGTGAATGTTTGTTGCATGTTGACTAAAACAAGCTGCCTTCCTGCCCCGACAGTTCCTTGGGAAATATTCCTTAAGGCAGCCAGTCCTGGCAGCCTGGATGTGGGAAATGAGGAAGGGCGAGAGAGGTGGACCCACTACAAACCAGGGGCCTACAGACCCTCACCCTCTCATCCTTCACTTCTCCTTCGTGTTCTGTCTACACCCCCCACCAAAGCCCAAATGGCCAGGCCACAGAGGGGGAGAAAAGGAGAGAGAAAGCAGTCCTGTGGGTGTCTGGGGCAGGGAAAAGGGTCCCATGAACACCAGACCTTCAACAACCTTCCAGTAGGTCACAGTGGGGTAGGTCTGCTTGGCTCTGGGCCGAGGGGGTTTGTGGTAAGAGGTGTGGACCATGATGGCCACTCCTTGTGAGTAGAAGCTCTGTCTGAGGCATTGTTCCCTAGATCTCTTCTAGAATTCTGCTGAGGGTGGGGGTGGGGGGGGTTGATAATGTGGGAGAGGGGGGCTCAGGGGCTGCTGTGGGAGGTTGAGGCGCTGAGAAGGATTTGAGGAGGGGCGCTTCCTCACAGCTTGTGGGGAACTGTGTGTTCCTAGCCCTGAGGCAAAGCTCCCACAGGCCACTCAACCCAACAGAGGAGCTCCCATGGGCTGGGATTCTTGGTCTGCAAGGAGCTGGCATCAGCTTGGGTGAGTCCGCCTATGAATTATGCCAGGCCATGAGGGACACTAAGGCTGGCATCCACATACCTTCCCCTCTTCATGCCCTCCTGAACCCAACAAAGGCCTGGGGAAGGGAAGAGAGATGAGAGTGATGGGTGAAGTAGATCCTCAGGTCCCTGGGCCCCCCAACTCTGGAACCTCCATGGGGACGTGTCCCCACTAAGGTTTCAGATCAGCCGATATGTAAACACACTGCACCCCCAATCACAGGGAGCCAGCCCCAGCCAAGGCAGCCTCATATTGCCCCTTCCTGTGTCCACTCTGACCTCTCCCCACCCCTTCTCTGCATCCCTTTCCTCTAGGAGAGCCCATCTAGACTAGCCTTTGATTTTTCTCCCTGCACCTGTCCCCTCTATTTGCCCTAGCTCTGTGACTTGGAAAAATCTCCTCTTTTCCGTCCAAGAGCACTCTGACTGCCGACAGTGTATCTCTCCCTTTTCATGGAGTCCTTCTTGATCTACCCTCAGAAGAGTCCTCCAACTCCCAAGCCTTTGACAACAGAGCCTCATACAACAACCACACAGTGCATCTAATTCTGAGCAACTTCCTCCTACCCAGGTTTCCCGTCTGGGCGCACCACTCCCCCTGATGCTTCAGCCTCCAGGAGCTGAGAGACTTACTAGGGTCCACATAGGCCCAGCTGGGGTGGAGAGGCACAGCCGAGGGGGCTGGGGGAAAGGCCCCTGCCTTCAGCCCCTCCCCGGAGGTGGCCTCCTCATAGGAAGGTGGGGCTGAGGGCACTGCTGGAACCTCCTTTTTCTCTCCATTCGTCTGCTGCTGCCCCTCTGTCCCAGGGGCCTTGTTAGCCACGGAGAGCTGTGGAATAGAGACAGAGCGAGAAGGTCACCAGGGAAAGGGCACCCTCCAAGCCCTCTCCAGCAGGCCCTCAATTCCTGGAATTTCCATGAGTACCTTCTCACCTGCACTGGGCGGGGGGGGGGGGGGGGCTGCAAATAAGAATCCCCATTTTATGTGAGCTATATATAAAATGGTATATTGTTCAGCCTTTAAAAAGAAGGAAATTCTGCCAATTGCAACAACATGGATGAACCTGGAGGACATTATACTGAATGAAATAAGCCAGACACAGAAAGACAAGTACTGCATGATCTCACTTAATGAGGAACCTAAAACAGTAGAACTCATAGAAGCTCAGAGGAGAATGGTTGCCAGGGGTGGGAGTGGGGGAAATGGGAAAACGTTGGTTAAAGGGTACAAAGTTTCAGTTATGCAAGATGAGTTCTGGAGAGCTAATGTGCAGACCGGGGACTATAGTTAACAATAACCGTATTGTCTACTTGAAATTTGCTGAGAGGGTAGATCTTAAGTGTTCTCATCATACACAAAAAACGGTAATTATGCTAACTAGCTTGACTGTGGTGATCATTTCACAATGTATGCATATTTAAAAATATCAAGTTGTACACCTTAAATATATGCCATTTCTATTCGTCAATTTTACCCCAATAAAGCTGGGAATAAAAAAAGAATCTCTCTATTTTATAGATGGGAGAACTGAGCTCCAGGAGGGTCGGGGCTGGCCAGAGGCACACAGTGGAGCTGGGACAAGGACTGAGGAAGGAGAAAATTCTCAGAAGAGCCCACCATTCTTGGTCACTGTCCCCGGGGCAAAGGAATGGGTCTGTACGGTTCCAGTGTTTCCCTAGGTTCCAGGGAAGGGCCTGGCATAAGTAGGCCCTCAAAAATATTATCGAATGAAGGGTTCTCTCATTCATTTAATCTCCCTGCTACCTGAGGATCAGAGAGGAAGAATGACTCAGGCAAAGTCACAGAGCCACGTGTGGCCCATCGGGCTGCAGGGCCCAGGCACCATCCACTGGTATTAGCCTCCTTCGGCTGGGCTGGAGAAGATACAAGGAGGGTGGGATGGGAGAATGGGGAAACAGAAACGGGGAGGAGAGAGAGAAAAGAAGAGGAATGGGGACTGCACGGTGGAGGAAGGGCAAGAGGCCCCGGCTAAGGGTCCTGTTCTGGCCTTGTCCTATTGGAGCCCCAGCCTCTCCCCCAAGCCAGAACAGAGTCACAGAATGTCACTGCTGGAAGGACCTCAGAAGGCATCTAGTTCAGCCTCTTCCTGCATTTTACAGATGAGGACACTGAGGCCCAGAGGGAAATGTGCCCATGGCAGGTTGATATGCCCCCTACCCCACAATGTACACGTTTAGCTTTGGTGAGGGGGTAGGAGCTATGAGGGCCTGAATGATGCAGCCAAAGAGTGGAAGACTGGGGTGGAGGGGTGTGTGAAAACTGAAATACCAGCAAAAGGACTGAACCTCAGAAAATAGGATTTAGGTCTGATTCCAAAAAGAATGTGTTAAACCTCAAGGGCCACTGAGGAAGACTGCAGAGTTCCTTCTCTGCAGGGCGCATCTAGCTGAGGCAGCCCAGACACGGACAAGTACCGGAAAATCTCTGCTTCCATCCAGCCCTAAGGAATATTGAACTGGGAGGTCTTTTCCACCACCAGAGAGCCTGTGACCAAGCTGGGGGTGAAGGGCAGAGGAGGCAGGGGCAATACAGTCCCCCCAGGACAGGAAGCAGTGTCAGCAAAGTGACTGGTGGAGGTCAGGGTGGGGAGTAGAGGGAGAGGATCAGCAGATCTTCATTTTCATCACAGTGAACACCCCCAGGCCTCCTTGGGGAAGGGCCTGGGAGCCCAGGCCTGTGGGAACGGGGCTCTGGCTCATCTGTTTCCCTCCCACTCCCCACCTCCTTCCTCACCCAGACCAGAAGGGACACGCCTAGAAAACCCATTGCAGCCCACCAGAACCAAGGTCCTCTGAGCCCAGACCCAGGGCTTGTGTCTGGGAAAAGGATTATCACCTCTGACTTCAGCCCTGTGCAAAGCTGGTCCTCCTCACCAGTGTCCCCCCCCCCCCGGCATGATGGGAGAAGTAGTTC